CTACTAATTGATGAACTGAAAACACCTGGTGAGAAACATGAGGGTGACAATCAGACAGACAGGGAGCAGCTGAGCTGTGACACACTGGGGAACACTGAAAACACTAGAAAACTAAGAAAATAAACACAGATCCTGACAGGACCATGGCATCAGTTATTTTGGAAGCAACTTTGTTTTTTTTCTTCTTGTACATAGATGACAACATCGTCTGCATACAGTAAAATATCTGTCACAGACCGATGGGAGCTCATTAATGTATAAGCTGAATAACAGGGACCCGAGTATGGACCTTAGTGGGACTCCGGCTAATGAGTTCCCACATGTCAGAACTTCCAGAATTATATTTTCCCTCAACCCGAGAGTCGTCTCTGTCCAGAACTCAGCTGTGCGTCTTCTGACCCAGATCACCTCACCGGAACCTTTAAAGATCTCCACAACCAGGCCTCCTGAAACCTCGAGGTCTTCTTCGACTCATCTACGTCTACAGAACCTGAGAGATGACACAAACCGTCCCAATTTATTTTGATATAAGCTTGTTTAAACCTTCCTTAGTTCATGTCTCCTCATCAGACCAAACTCTGGGAACAAATATTCGAGTCATGAGACCGACTTTGGACCAGAGTACCGCTCCTACCTGCCAGGTTCAGTAAATCCAAACTGTTGTTGCTGTTGGTTCTATTTTTAAAGGAACAATAAGAACTTGGCCGAGTCGTGATGCCAACAGGTTTCCTCTCAGCTCCACGTGTGAGACGACAGAGTGACTTTAAATCCTCTGACAGGAAAACAACCTGCCGCTGCTCTTTGTCCCTCAGTTTGTCCATCTGTCCATCTGTCAGCAGGTCTCAGCAGGCTTGGGACAAACGAGCTCTTACATGAGCCCAACTGACCCTGCAGGGATTTGTCTTTGTTCAGACATTTAGAGAAAGGCTCCAGTGTTCGAGCAGCTGCTTCACCTTAAATAAATCTAACGTGTTCCAAAATGAAGCGTTTATGAAAAGAACTGAGGTGAAAAGTTACAGATTTATAACAAAAAACTGCCTGAGGCCAGAATGACCTGAAAATTATGAATAAAAAGTTTGTAAAGCTCGAACCTGTGAGCTGATCTGACATCATCATCATCGTTGTTTGTTTTGATCAGGTCAGGATGCTTTAGTTACTTTTGTTTTTGTTGTTGTTTGTTGTTTGGTTTGTGCCACGCCCATCTACACCTGCTCCCTGGCTCACCTGCCACAGCTGCATCCACTTCTCTAATCATCATTTGAAACATTTTGTTTCACTTCAGTCTGCAGTTAAACTTTAAATGTTTCTCTTTACACATCTGGTTTACCTTGTCCCTAATTGTCCCTTTTGCCCCACCATGTCCCACCTTATCCCTAATGTCCCTTGTTGTCCCTCCTCAGGCTGTGGTTTTATTCATGAAACCAAAGTAAAGTTTCTCCAGTTGTTCTGATCGTTTGATCCAATCTGAACTGGGTCACAGCTGAGACTTCATTACATCCGTTTGGATCTGACAGAAAGACTTTGTTGTTTTTGTGTTTATCAGCAAAAAGATAGTAAGATTAAATACAGAAAAACACTCATCACAGTTTAATTTGGGCATTTTTTCTACAGAAAAGTTAAAATATTTCTATATTTGTACATTTTTACTGTAAAAGACTGCTGCTGGTGTAAATGGGTTTGATAAGGCGGGTGTGATGTCGGTGGATCAGAACGAGTTGAGTTATTTTAAAAATGTCAGCTATGTGAGGAAGTAAAGTGCAGGAAACTGTGAGATAAGAAGCTGGTGGTCACAGGGACGGACTCATTTCCTGTTGATGGAATTTCAAAATAAAACTCCTGCTGCTTTGGTTTGTTGTGTTATGATTCTGATTAAATATTTCAGGATGAACCGAACCCTCCTGCTGCCCTCAGGTTGGTTCTGACTCAGGTCTGATGGGTCCATATGACCCCAGGCCAGCAGGAGGGTTTGGGGTCTCAGAGAAACCGTCTCCCTGTCGTTGCCTCTGAGTTATTTCCATCATGCGTGGTGTCGGGACGTTTTCCAGCTCAGAGACAGAAATAAAAGGATCAAACCCTGAATGTGAACAGGTGGTGCTGATCCGTCGGGTTATCGGACTGATCTCTGAACCACAGGAGGTTCTGCTGGACCACGGGATCAACTCCTCACTGACACTGACTGAGAGTCCAAATGAAAATAGGCACAGTGACACAGAGTTGTAAAGTAACTGAGTACAAATACTTTGTTACTGTACTTAAGTAGAGATTTTGGTTACCTGTACTTTATTTTTCAGCGTACTTTTTACTTCTACTCCTTACATTTTCACACAGTTATCTGTACTTTTCAACTTCTTACATTTTTAAACAAGGGAAGAAGTAGAAACTTGTTACTCCCATTTCATTTTGGCTCATTATTGTAAAAAAATATTATCCTGATAAATTGTGCCTCCTGGAAAGAGTGAATTTAATTACAGTTGAATGAGAAGTATAAATATATAACATTCAGACATGCAATTGTACACAATCCATCACAACTGCATGCCTTTAGAATATTAAAAAACACATTGTATATTTAAAATATTTTTGGCAAGTTCACCTCCCAATAAATGTTATTTTGGAAAACCTGATCACTCATTTTTACACAAAACTTTTACTTTTAATACTTAAGTACAATTTATGTTAGAAATTTACTTTTGATAGTTAAGTACAAAAAAATCAGTTACTTTAAGACTCAAGTAATATTCTTGAAGGAGACTTTAACTTTTACCAAAGTAATTTCCTGATGAGATACTTATACTTTTACTCAAATATCACTTTGAGGTACTTTATACAACACTGCAATGACGTCATCAGCCAAAGATTCCACACAAATCTGTCAAATTTATTTTAGGATAAAGAGTCAAATAAATGAGAAAAATGATGAGAAGTCAGAAATATAAAACCATAAAACTTTTATCCCCTGAAATCTCACATTTTGTCCAAAAAGCTTATTTATAAGCAGATATTTAGCTAAAACTCATTTATTCCCTCATCTGCCTTTTTTTTTATATCAGAGTTGTAAAGTAACTAAGTACAAATACTTTGTTACTGTACTTAAGTAGAAATTTTCGTTATCTGTACTTTACTTAAGTAATTTTTTTCAGCGTACTTTTTACTTTTACTCATTATATTTATACATAATTATCTGTACTTTCTACTCACTACATTTTTTAAAAAGGTAAGAAGTAGAAATTTGTTACTCCTGTTTTATTCTGAGTTAGTACTTTTAAAACTCCTCTCCTGATAAACTGTGTCTCCTATAGAGTGAATTTAATTGTGTTTGGATGAGAAGTATAAATATATACCATTCTGACACACTATTA